AACCCTGACACAACCACAGGGTATAACCCCCTAACCTGCCATAGATAAAGCAGGGGGCATGCATGTATGTGGTTGGTGTGTTTGGGGTGATCTGAGTGCTCATGTGCGATCGTATATGGGCATGTGTTCAGAGACTGTTGGTGGTGGGCACAGTGCATGTGGCACACTCTGTGTGCCTGTATATGTTTGCATGTATGTGTGTAGCTATTGTGGTGGACAGACTGAACACGAGAGGCTGGATGGGTAGGAAGGTTAGCTGTGTGCAGCAGTGTATGTGTGTGTGTGGAGGCAGTTGTAGGTGGAATGCATGTATACTCTGGGGGTATGAGTGTGTGCAGAGGATCTGTGAAACTAGGATTGTGTAGGGAGTATGGTTTCTGTGGGTACACTGTATATCTGCATAAGGCTGGACATGTGCAGGATGCGGTCAGCAGTCTTGTGTTACCTGTAAAGTTCAGCGGCAGCTCTGTTGACTGCCCAGTCTCCACATTTTCGCAGGTGACCCTCTGCAGTTGAATAGCAACAATTTTCAGCAGGTCTCCTGTTGACAGGCAGCATTCACTGCCTGAGATCTCATACACAGACCCTACAGAGGGAAGACAGGCAATTTCTAAGACTTTCTGCAGCTGCGATAACTGGACAAGAAGAGGAAGGATGGTACAGGGGTTAGTGTGCCTGCTCTCTTCTGTCACAGACATCCTGTGTGACCTCGAGCAATTGACATGTGGTATGTCTACACTAGGCCCGTGTGAAGTGGCTAGTATTCGCTTCGGATTTGGCCGATGTGGGGGACAGTGATTCTATTCAATGATGCGAATCACTGTCCTGATTCAGTTCGGCCGAATCTGATCCGAATCAGCCAGGCCAGGCCCATCCTCCACCCCTCTCCCAGCTTGGCAATGGCTGCTGCAGCTCCTGGCACTTGTAAAAAGAAAAGCCCCCACTCACCGGGTGCTGCTGGATGGGAGGGAGAACCCTGCTGCTCCCCACTGCCCCATGCTGCATGGGGGGCTTTGTACGAGCACCTTGATGCCCCCCCCACTCCCCCAGCCC